AAGTGGGTTTCGCTGCACATTAGTCTAAAGATCTACAAAGTAAAGAAAGCATGAGTGATCTACATGAATGGCTTTGTACGCATAAGGAAATATAAACGAAGAATCGAACAAATAGGTAGAGGCGCGAGGTTAGCGAGGCAGACAATCTTACTACGCTCAAAAGAAACCAGCTTCTTTTGCATTAGCTTTACTGTATATTGATAGAACTAAAACAACAAGTGACATATTTGTCAATCTAAGAAAATTAGCACGGTACGATAAAATCAATTCTTAGTTATCTTACATCATCGCATACATTTTCAATGCTCTTGCACATTACATTCGTTTTAATCACATGCACAAAGGCCGTCGAATAACTGCTATGTAAAATAATTACTTTCTCTGTAATCTTTCTCTTTTTCTAATGAATTTTTAACCAATGTTACAATAGACGTTTTTTACGAAATTAGTTTTAGGCAGTTTTTCACCTCCATTTTCGATTCATATCTTACATTTTTATCAGTATTCTTGGTCTTACGCGACTTTGTTTCATATATGTTTGTAAATGACTAACAATTTAATAATATAGACTATTTGTTTTTGTTATATCATATATATATATATATATATATATATATATTATTTTTCATTATCATTGACAATCCGATCAAACAGATATTTAAATTAAAGATTTTTTAAATATTTGCATTGTATCAAATATCTTTGTTTAAATCACAAAACAATACAAGAATGAAGATCATCATGGCTACACGCAAGAATTACCTGTGTTCGAGCGATTTGATGAGGCTTTACAAAAATATGGTTGGTGCGAGCCTAGGAAGTAACACTTTAACACTTTACAGCCGATGTTTCATATACATATACATCTAGTAATGCATGATTAAAATTCTGTTTCTGCATTTTTACTTTTGTAACTTGACATATATAGTATAATTATACATTTTTTTCCTAATTGTAACAAAGAATTATGATATAATTTTCCATTTCATTTAAGAAACTGAGAAAACAATAGTTTTTCATTAAAAGAAGATATATAATGTAAGTATTATCTGTAGGCATAAGAAATTTATTTATGTTTTGAAAAGCTCTGTTTTTAATAGTGATGCAATTTTTAGTTGGTCAATTTTATATTTTAAACAATTACTAAAACATATATACGCGTTATCACGGATTCTTTAAATTATACACATTATATCATAAATCTATAAGTTTGCAGAATAAAATGGAATTCTGCTGATTTACTTCTTCATTTCATGAATTTATCGAAAGCAATATTATTATTATTATATCTAAATTGGACTAAATAAGTATAGCGAATTTTTCTTTATATTATGAAATAACATATAATTAATTATAGATGCGTGTAACATAATATTAAATGTATACAGGCGATCAAGTCAGTAGATTTCTATTAATTAAATATTTGTTAATTATTGCAAGACAATTTAATGTTATCAAATATTTTGAAGCTATGATATTTTTTTATAATTCATTTGTTGAAGCTTAAATTTTAATATAATTGGAATATTAAAATAAACGTTTATTATGTAAATACCTTCATATAATAAAAAATTATATATTTTATTTAAATCATGTATATTATAATATTTTGTCAAAGCAAAGCGCTCTATAACTTCCGTATATTTCGGTGGATAATAAATGTATAATTAAATGTAACTTTGGAGGAAACTAATCCAATGTTCCTTGTAATAAACAGTTGGATTGTTGGTATAGTGAGAGGTAGGCAAAACGTCGAAAAATTGACTGAGCGTCTATTTTGTCCTGACTGAAGGGAGCACGAAGTATAATACGTAGGCCTTAGATTGCAAGCAATATAAGACAAATATAATTATATGGAGTGAATAAAGAGGGGAGCCGAGGTATAGCAAGTGAAGATGTATATTTTTCTATGGATATCTCCAAATATGCATCATCCACGTGTTTTACCATCTGTTATACGAAATAAAATTGCTTGTTTCTATAATTTCTTTTTAAATATTTTGGTTTTGGCATTTCCTTTACATCAATAAGGAAAGTCTCTATTTTTCTTCCCTCTATCTCTAACTCTATCGTACTTCTCTAAAGCGCTGTTTTTTATTTTTATTATGCTTCTTACTTGATTCATTCTTACAATTTTTCAGCAATTACTGATTAAATCTGGTCAATTATACATAATGATACCTATTGTAATTTATTAGTATCAAACATATTTAAAATATGCGAGAATAATTGAAGATAACCAAGTTTTGATGACGATTAATGGCGATCATTTTCAATCTTGACCTCAAAACAAATATAGTAATGATAATGTATTTTATAATATATCCTCTATCACTTTTATTAAAAGGTGTCTAATTTTCATTTTGACCTTGCTACTGAATTTTAATTATTAATTAAAAATCAACATATTTATATCAATGGAGCTAAATTGCTAGCGAATAAAAATAATCAAATTAATAATAAATAATAGAAAATTTATATTTTAATGACTTTCATTATACAGATTATAAACTCTAATTAAGGGTTTATCAATTATCAAGTTATCAATTATTGAATTGCTATTATTACTTATTGAAACATATTTGATAGAAATTTTATAATAGAATTAAGTAATAAAACAATTTAATTTGAAGGAGGCTACAGTTTAGTGGGAAAAGTAATAATGAAGAGCTATCCATTCGAATAGCTTTTCATTATTACTTTAATTCTTATAGTTCTAAAATCAATAAGTAAAACAGTCGATGAGAACACATAAAGTTATAATTTAGCTCTAAATTGAAAATAAATATAATGCAAGGAAAGCATCATTAGATAACTAGGTTTAAAATAAACAACACATTGCCTGTGATCGTGGGAAAACGACTCTAGATGTGTACTCGGAATCATACTAAAAAAGGCGTAAAGAAATAGTTGTGTAAAAATTGACGGTGAGCTAAGTTTCCGCTAAAAACAGGAATCATGAATTTATATGCCTATTTTTTTTAATCGTTACCGACGAGGAGCGAGATCGAGTATCATTGAATTGATATAAGCAGATCGTTACCCAGGCAGAACTACTTTGGCACTTTCTCTCTCTCTCTCTCTCTCTCTCTAATTTATATGGATGCCTTTTCCATCTTTCTATGAATGACATTTCCATACAGATACAGAAATGGATAGTAAATAACTATGATCATAACTACTGCTATTTACTTTTTTAATTAAACTTGTTGTTTTTCCCTTCTAATGGATAATTTTATATTTAAAACCATTTTCTCCAACTATGTTTTCTTCTTTTATTTTTAATATTGTTTTTAATACGTTATTTAACATTTTTCTTAATGTATTTTGGTTAACTACGTTGTATGTCTAATATAAAAATTAGCATGAATTTTTATAATATAATTGGAAATTGCTGTAAATTATTCCAATTATTTTAAAGCTACATTATAATACAATTACTAGGTTTATATTAACATTAATTATTTATTAATAATCAAAGATAATGTATTAATAAATTACTAATCTAAATCGAATAGAACATAGTATCTTTTTTTTAAATGTTCAAATAGGTTTATAGATTATATATTATAGATTATGGTGATGATGCTTTATATGCGATATCTTATTTAACTTTATTATTTTTAAATTGAAGTCAGATCATTTTACCAAATCGATGAAATATTCTATAGTATAATCATTTATCCAATACTAACCCTGAAAATTTTAGAAATTGTAAAATCTCGCATTCGTATTACATCTTGACAAAATTATATTTAAATGTCTTTTTATTATAGTAATAATTTAGTACTAAAACCTTCTAATCATTAATTTTGTTTATCATTTATCATGTTTATGATAAATTTATAATATTTAACAGAATATAAAACTTTTTTATTCATGTATTAAAAAATAGACCATTTTTGCAATAAAATTTATAGCTTTTTGTATAAATTTAATTTGGCTTATAAATAAAAATCGATCCTTAATAAATCGTAATAAAATTTTAATTTGTCTTAAATAACAATTTGTAGATTGACTTAATTGTATGGATTGTAATAAGACTTCATACTTTCTCTCGGTTTCTTTATGTATATAAACCATAGACATGTTTTATTTCATCTTTAATTATTCAAATTGAGGTACGTACAAAAGAAATTCTAAAATTCTAACGATTTACAGTGTGGAAAAGTTTGAGTTTTTTTGCTAGTTTGTAATTTTGTATATATATAATGTATATAAATAACATATAATAATAGTATATCTATTGTTTTCATTCTAGTAATAAGATTTTTATTATTTCCTTTGTATAATTTTAGTAGCAATTTAATATAATTAAAATTTTATTTATAATTTATCGATAAATTATTCTTCGTTAAAAATACTAAAATAAATATTATCTTTTATATGCAATTTAATAAGCATATAATAGAATTTCTAATAAAAATAAAAATATACCATTATGTTCTGTTTTAGGCATTATTTATTAAAAATATTAATTTTTTATATAAACGTTTTATATTACGTAAAACATGCTTAATCATTTATGAAATATATAACAAATAATATAATTTGTACATAAAACTCTATGTAATTTATTTTTACTAATGCTATTAAAATTTGAAGCCAGTTGGATTAAAATTTCATGAATTGTCAGAAATTCTATTGTCTCAAATCTAAAGTATTTGATAATAATATTATGTCGTAATTGTTAAAGTATAATAAAAAATTTGTTTAATTATTCGGTAATTTTTAAATGTGTTATTATTAAAAAACTCAGTTCTTCAAAAAATACAAACCAATCTACATTCTAACCTAACTTATTCGCGCCAAAATTTAGTTTCGTAAAATACAAAAAAATATATGGAATTTAAGTATTGCATTATCTATAAAATATTTTTGTTAATTAATTGCAAACATAATGTTTTCGTAAAATTTATAGAATTAATTTTTGTTCACTGTTTACAGGATTGTTGAATTTATAACAATTTTTAAAACTTTGAGATTATCAATTTTACATCTACAAGTTAACCTATATTGTTCATAATGAAATTTAAATGTAAAATGAATGATGCTGGATCAATGAGAGATTTTACGAGTGAGTTATAAGTTTTCATATATTATATTTGTAGTTTTAATTAATTATTAATTCATAGATGTTGCAAATACTGTCGCACGAATGTCCAAGCAGTGTGTTCTTCGATTAACTCAAAATTCCATTTATTTTAATATTGCTGATGATTCTATGGCAATGGTTTGGACCAAATTAGATAAAAATCACTTTTTTGTAGACTACTTGGTTGCTGGAAAGTCAGTAGAATTTAATGAAATTTATATGGAACTGAATACAGGAATGCTTGCAAAGAGTGTAACTTCATTAAAAACAGTTGCAAGAAGTGTCAAAATAAAGTTAACTAATAAACAACAACCTTGTCTTACATTTGATATTGAACTGTCTTCCATTAGTGCTGAATCTCGATTGTGTATTCATGATGTGCCTGTAACTATTATTCCACAAAAAAAATGGAGTGAATATAATGAACCAAATATTGAACGATATGATGTAAGGATGTTTTAGTAGTTACATAATTTTTAATATTAAATGTTATTACTATTATCAATATTATTATGTGATTAATGCTAAAATAATATTTTCAACATTAATTGTTTTGATTATTTATTCAGATATCATTAGAAATGCCTCAATTTAAGCATTTAAGAAGTGTGATGGAAAGAATAAAAAGTATGAGTCCAATTCTTATATTGTCAGCTGATACAAATGGTGTACTTGCATTTAAAGTTGATACAAATGCTGCTACAATTACTGTACATTTTCCTAATCTTACAGTACTTGATTGTACTTCAAATAATGAAATATCAGCAAGTGTAGATATTAAAAAATTTCATGCTTTCCTAGCATGGGAAGCTGTACATCCTACTGCAATAAAATGCAACATTCTTAATGAAACAGTAATTAATATAAATTTAAATTTAGAAAACTATTTACAAATAAAGTACTATATTCCTGCAATAGAATCTTAGTTAATCTTGAAGTATTATTTATTATAATTTAGTATATTTATTTAAGCATTAACAGGTTTTATATTGTAATTTAATACTGAAAAATAATACTGATTATAGTTTTCGAATGTATCTTTTTTATTTTATACTTCATTCAAGAAGGCCTTTATAATTAATGCTCAAAATATTTTAACTATCAAATGTATTTTTATTTCTTTTATATCAGACGAAAAATATCAATTCCACTAAAATGTTATGTATTATTATAATAATAAATTGAATATATTTTTAAATTTTTTAGCGATTTTATATAATTTAAGTGAAACATGGTTAAAAATGATTTATAGTATAAAATAAAATTACTATGTAAATATATAATTATTAAAAAGTTATTTGTAAAGTAAGACGCTAAGAAATTGATAATTAAATAATTATTTTTATTTAATTTGAATAATACGGTAAACCGTTGACCAATCTGATTCAGTGACATTAATTGCACGTGATCTGCAATGCCAATGGCGGAAATATTAAGCGTCGGTGGATTTTAAACGTAAGAAAAACCGTTTGAGTTAAAGCAGAAGTTTTGTTCAACAAATATTAACTATTAACAAATAGTTTAACAGAATGTATTACTTTTAATTGGATTACATGGGCGATACTTCATATAATTTTTATAATATTAATCACAAGGTTGGTAAATTATAATGTAATTATTATGTTTGTTCTTTTGAATGAACCAAAATAACCTAAGTGACCTCTATTATTTTGAAAACTTGTGATTTTTTTTAATTTTCAAGATGAAAAAGTAAGAAAAAGCGGACATTTTTATTTATAATATATGTTCATATATTAATTAATGAAGTCTTTAATAAATACCAAAAGACATTTTTACTTAAATTACCCATATAATTTTTATCTAAATTATTGAATAAAATGAGATCGTTATTAGTATAAATATTTTTATACAATTAATTCAAAAAAATAAAAATTTATTTCTTTTGAACTGTGATCAGTATTCAATGAATGCTATCAAAAGTATAATAATAGTTGTTTTCATAATGATACATGAAAATTAATGTTATATTATAAGTATATTAATATGTACTATGATTATAAGTTGATAAATTTTTAATCGTGAAATGTAAAACGTGAATTTGATAATGAATTTGAAATATAGACATTTTTGTATATATATATATTAATTCGGTGTAAATTCGTCATTGTAAAACTAGCTTGAACTTGCCTTAGTGTTAGATATTAAATTTTTCTATAATTATCAAAATACAATGATAGTATTTATGTTAATATTAGAGTGATGTATTTACATTATAAATACATTTTATAATATTTTTTATTTTTAATATATTGATCATTAAACAAATTTTATAATTTATAATTATTTATAATTTTTATTATAATTTTGAATTTTTAGTGTTTTACTTTAATTTTAATAATAAAATAGTTCCCTGTAAGAAATATATATATAAATTATTAATTAATTTGTTCTTATATTTAAAATACTACACGCATAGATAATTTTAAAATATTTAAAAATTTTTGAACTATTGAAAATAGCCTTATTTAAATGACAGATTATGAATTATGTATATTATTAAAATAAATAACATTGATTTTATTTATTTTATGCATATTTTATATTATAGATGAATTGATTTTAATGTAATTGACTTGTTTTTTTAATTAAAAACTAGATGATATTTAATTTATCAATTGACAATATATAAATACAGGATATAATACATTAAGGAATAATTATTGAATTAAAGTTTATTTTAAGTTTATTATATTTTAGATGAATCCTATAAACAGTACCCAGTCATCGGAGAATGAATCGATAGGAGGTGACATGTCTTACCTGTATGGAAGAGACCCAAGTATACTAGCTTATGGACAACGTCCATTTCCATCACAAGAATCAAAAAGAAATTTAATATCTTCATTGGAAGAAGAGAAAGAAGATGAATCAATAGAAAATAGAGATAAAAATTTAAGAAGTATTAATGCATCAATAATTCAAACAATTAAAGTATTTTTACGCATGAAACCTTACCCTGCTAAAATGAAAATTACACCAGAACTTTCAAATGTTTACACAATTTTGAATTCAACTACATTACTTACAAAAATGCCTTCACTTGATAATAATACTAGCTGTTTGAAAAAAATTAAAATGAATGATACAGTGAGTAGAAAATTTATATTTACACAGACATTTGGACCAAAGACTTCGCAGCTACAATTGTTTGAAGAAGCAGTTAAACCACAAATGATTAAATTTTTAAGTGGTCAGAATTCAATTGTAATGAGTTATGGTTTGTGTTTTCATTACTTAAAAATTAACATATTTTCTAGTAATTAATTTTTATATGTTTTTATTTAACTTAGGTACTACTAATTCTGGAAAAACTTATACTTTACAAGGAACAGTTGAATCTCCAGGAATTATTCCTCGTGGAATTGAATTTGTTTTCAGTAATATTAATCCACGAGAAGTACCGTATTATAAACCAGTAAATTTATGCGATGTTGTTTTTCTTAATAATCATGAACGTCTTCATGAAATGGATTTGAAGATGAAACTACTTACTTTTAATTCAGAAGATAAAAACTATCATGTAAGAATCTATAAACAAATGCAACGATTACTCCAAGAAGAATCACCAATAAGACCTAGTCAAAATTACAATGGATATTATTCTGTATGGATATCATTTGCAGAAATCTATAACGAAACCATTTATGATCTTTTATGGAATGATTGTCAAAGAAAACAACCTCCCTTGAAATTAGTAACAGATTGTAGAGGTAGAGCTTATATTAAAGGCTTAAAAAGTATTAATGTTAATTCTGGTGCTGAAGCTTATCAAGTACTAATGGCTGGACAGTATAATTTAAAAATTGCAGCCACTGCATTAAATTCAAGAAGCTCAAGATCGCATTGCATATTTACAATTAAATTATTAAAATATAGATATGAACACGATCCAAATTCTGTAGAAGTGAGCATGTAAGTTTCTTCCTTGATTAGTTTTATTTTTTGTATTTTAATATTTAATTTTATTACTTTTATTAATATAGGTTCACATTTTGTGATTTAGCTGGTTCTGAACGTTTGAAAAAGACTTTAAATGTTGGTGAAAGATTAAAAGAAGCTCAAAATATTAACACAAGTTTGTTAGTTTTAGGAAGATGTTTAAAAACTATTTACGAATCTCAATGTTCCACAAAACAAAAAAATGAATCGATAGGACCTTTTCGCGAATCTAAATTAACAAGGCTATTTCAAAGAGCTTTATTAGGAAAGGAACAGTTAGCTTTAATTGTCAATGTTAATCCTGTACCTAATTTGTATGTTGAAACACAAAATGTTCTTAATTTTTCTGCAATTGCAAAAAAAATTGTAATTGAAAATGCTGAAATTGTAAAACGAAGACACTCGCATTCAAGATTTTCTCGCTTAGTCACTCAAAACTTGAAAACTGATATGGATTGGGAAAATACAGAACTTGTTGATATGACAGAAGCATGTACATATATTTTATAATTATTTATTTCAAATAGTTTGTATTTAATATAAATTTTATAAGCTTCACATTAATATAAAGATTAGTAAATTCAAATAATTTTCAATGACTTATTTTTTGTATAGCTCATATTTTTTTTTATATTTTACTAAATAGCTGAAGAAGTGTTTGAAGAGGAATCTGAAATTTCTGAAAATGATTTAATAAATGAAAACTTATTAATTGAAAATGAATTATTGAAGAAAGAAATTAAAGACCTAAAAGATTCTATTTTAAAAAAAGATATGCAGACACGTAAAGAAATGACTGATATGTATATTGAGATTTTAAAGAAATCTGAAGAAAGTTGGAAGTTTGTATTTAAAAAAAAAATTTTTTTGTTCAAGAAACCAAATTCTATTTTTTCTATTTTCTATTTTTTATAAATCGATTCTATTTTTTTTTGTTTTTCGTAAGAAATCGTATGCTAGATATGGAAGAGCAACAAGAAGACCTCCGTGAATTAGCTGTAGATCGTATAGAATTATTTTATAAAGAAAAATTAAATCAATTAAACAGTCGTAAACGGTCCCGTCTATCAGATGATGAAGAAGATGATAGTAACATAAAAAAAGAATTAGAAAATTTAGAAATTGAAAATACTTGTCTTGCAACAAAAATTGAAACAATGAAAAAGTCTATTCGAGATTTAAAACAACTGAAAGATGCTGAAGAAACTGAAAAAACAAAACTTTCTTTTGAATTAGCTGTTGCTAAAGAGGAAACGAAAAGAACAAATGAGATGCTATTGGCCGCACAAAGAAGTATTAATTCTGGAGAAAATATATCAGATAATTACGTACAAGAATTAACCGAAATTTGTAAAAAAAAAGATGATAGAATAAAAGTAAGTATAATTTATAAGTACATTATAAAGAATTATTCTGATTTATGAAATATTTTTTCGTAATTTTTTTATGAACCACTTAGACAATGAAAATATTCTTGAATGAAGCCAAAGAAGAATATATTTTCATTACTGAACAAGCTCAAAAATTGGAAAATCAAATAAAAACCCAGAATGAATTGCTAGTTGAAAACAAGGAACATATAAACGATTTAGAAGAACAACTTACGCAGGCTAATATATATTCCTCAGAACAAAGTAAATTTATTGAAGATTTGGAAGAACAATTAGATCAGCAAATGAAAAATATGGCAGTAACAGAAGAAAAAGTAAAAAATTTATCTGAAAAATGTCTTTTAGTAAATAATAATAAATGCATAGAGATAAATACTATCAAAGAAGATAATCAAAATATAGAAAAAACTAAACCACTTCTTGAAGAAATAAAATTAAGACTTGAATTGTCTCAGCATGAAAATAATCAACTAAAAGAAAAATTAAATCAAAGAGTAAATGAAATTGAATTATTAAAAAGTAAACTTGATACAACAAAAAATCAATTGGATAAAGTTACAGAGAGAGTTAATAATTTAATAATTGAAGATGTAGAAAAAGATATTTTAAACAACCAAAATCTTATAACTACAGTTGAACAAGAAATTCAAACAGAAGCCATGAATTCTTTGAATCTAGATTTAACAAAAGTTAAATCGAAACTTGTAAATATCAGTTGTCAAACTGAAATACATGTATGTATATAAATTGATAAATTTTTTTCATAAGTTTTATTATGTTGTATTTATATTTTAACTAGAAATATTTTGGAAAAGGGATATTATTTAATGAATTTTTTTTATGTCAAATGATAATTTCTTTATTAATATTTGTTTCATTGAGTTTTATCTTTATATAATTTTTTTTAATTTAAATAAATATTTCCATCGTAGATGGAACAATTGGATGAGATAAAAGAGCAATATGAGGAGACAAAAGAAGTTCTGAAAGATTGTAGGCTTAAAAAAGAAGAAATAAAAAAACAGCTCGATACAATTATTATTGATAAACAGAATGGTAGGCTTGAACGTATTTACAATAGTAATTTATAATTTAATAATTTTATAATTTGCTTTTAATAATGTATAATTTTTTACAAAAATGTATTAATAAAGAACTGGATAAAGTATTTGAAAAATTTGAGAAAGAAAGAAGTCATTTTAAGGATTTAATAGAAACTCAAAATATTAAAGATAAAAATCTAACAAGCCAAATTACTGATGCCATTGCTCGCGAGCATGACAAAGATAATGAAATATCCAGTTTACAAAAAGGTATGAAGAAATATATGTAATAAAATGTAGTTAGTGATTATAATTTAATTTAATTTATATATTATAAAAGAAATGAAAAACTTGATACAAACTAATGAGGAAGCCATAATAAAAATGGAAATAGAAGTGAAAAATATTTTAAAGGACCTGACGATATCAAAAGAGCAGCTCACTAAAACAGAAGAACGGAATAAAAAAATAGAAAAAGACTACAGGCAAATTATTCAAATTCTTGAACTCAAAATTGATAGTCTTGAAGACAGGCTTTTACAAAAGCGATTAGAAAATGAACAGCACAAATTAACAATAGAAGAATTAAAAAAAAGCGTAGATGATACAGAACACGAATTAGAAGTGTTTACCAAAAATAGAAATGAAACAGTTGCTAAATATGAAGATTTAGTTAAATCACAATATGATGAATTAGATTTTCACAGAAAAGAGGTATTTTTTTTTATAAAATTACAATTAAATTTCATTTTATTTTTCCTGTTATTCTGCATTCATTATTTGTATAATTGGATTTACTAAAGGTTACAAGATTACAAGATTTATTCCAAGAACTTAAAGAAAATCACGTAACTCCTCTTAAAGGAAATACCAAAAAATCACGATGTAATATAAAAGAAGAAAAAAAAAAGGTAACTAAATAAATGTTATACTGCATTTAAATAATTGATGTCTAGCTATCAATTGATATACTTTATTATAGACAAAAGTATTAATACCAGAAGTTACAAATAATTCTGAAGACGATCACTATGAAAATAATCGAATGGAAAAATCAAAGCAAAACAAAGAATTTGTCACGCCAAACATAGATAATATTCCATTAATAGATTTATCTGGCTCTGAATCAAAGTTAGTATATATTAATAGTAATTTAATTTAATTATTAAAACAATAATTATTGTCTTTCAGAAAATCTGCAAAAAGTACTAGTAAGGATCCACCATCTACAAAGAGAACTAGAAAGAAAAGATTATTTACACCACTAGATGAATCTTTTTTTGACATTGAACAAGGCGAGGTATGTATACAATATCTTTAATTAAAAATTTATAATCAATCTTTTCAAATATTACTAATTATGTAAAAAATATTAAATTTGATTACAGCCTTCGCCTTCTCCAAGTTCATCTACTAGAAATTTACGTAATAGAAAAAATAAATAATAAGCTTTCTGTATAGATAATTTCTAATTATTTTTTTACATAAAACGTATATTTTTATTATGTAAATAGTGATTTCAGTAAACAATTTTTCTAACGTAATTGTGATTGTATTACTATTTTGATAAAAATTTCAAAATATTGCTTAAATAATAAAGTATTGTAAGAATGTAAGTGTAATTAAAAAAATTTTTTTTTATCTTATTAATACATTGATAGTACTTAAAGTTTCATATGTTTTAAAACACTAATCAAAAAAGAATATTTCGAACTATTATGTTTGTATGTTTAAATTGTAGTATCTCATGAAATTGAATAAAGTTATATTTTAATATATTTTAAAGTTATAATAAATTTATTTGAATTCTCGTTATTTTAACAAATTGAAAGTATATTTGCTAAAGTATTTGAAAATATCTTAATTTTCTTACAAAAGCTATAGTTATAAAAATTTTATCATAATTCTTTATATGTTTATATATCATGAATTTTCAATAATTTATTAAGATATTAATAGTATATCTGTAACCTAATTTCTAGTTAAATTGTATAAAGAGTCTCATTTCCATAAGTCAATGCCAATTTAAAGAAATAATTAACATTACGTTGGTTGGTTTAATGGTAGTATACTATTACTGATATAATAATAGTATTGAATAAATAATAAAAATCATTCATTATCTGTTAACTTCTCAATTTTTGTAATTTTGTTTACATTTAGTTTATAAGTTTTTATGAATAAAAGTAAATATTATTTAGCAATTATTACTGTAAAAAATGAATAGAAAACAATACATTTCCGTGTAATTATGATTACTGTATGAAAATTATTTTGTATAAAATTAACAATCACAACAATAATCGCATGTAAGAAAATATTACTATTTTGATTTATAAATGTTTTAAATAATTAAACTAAATTAAACAGTTTCATTTAGTCCATAGGAACGTAGTTTTTACATAATTTTTAATAATTATTCAGAAATTGATAACAAATACAAATATTAAAATTTATTTCATAGATTTTTTTTTATAAAAATTATACAACTATATTTATATTACAATTATAATTATACTATATATTTTATACCAATTGTCTGTCATCATTATTTAAAAAAGAATACTAAGAACTCTTAGTAACGTCGCAATTAAATTTTTCAGTCAAATCACTTAATTCTCATTTAGTATATAAAGATCTTAATATAGGACCTTTATATTTTCTAGTTAAATAAACTACATAAAATGATTCTGATATTGAGATGATTCTTTTATATTAATGCTCTTTTAATATTTATTTTAAATACGAATTTTATTAACAAAATTGCAAACGTTACTAAATATTTTTTATTATTTTTATTTGTATTTACAGTAAGAATATTATATAATTTGCATTATTAATAGTTATCAAAATCATTATCATAGTCTCCTTACTCAAGAAATACTATTAAAAGAGTTTCTACCTATTATATTACATATTTTCTTTTCTTTATAACAGTATTGAAACTGTACGATAGACATTATTAATTTTATAAACTGTAATAAAAAAATTAAATTCTCATCTCTGTCCCAAACATTGCAATACGATACAGCGTACATACTTTATATATATTGTTAATAAAAATATTATATTTCGTTATGCCTTATTACATTAACTTTATTTAATTAGTATTAAGAGTGTTATTATTGTTTATTAATAAGGTAATTTATATTCTCAATATCAACATATTAGATATTAATTGAAGATTTAATTTTTCAAATTAACAAAGAATTTATAAGAAATTTAGAATTAATTAAATTTATATAAATAACTTGAGAAACTTAAAAATAGCTTATGATATGAAAAAAAATGATTTATAAATTAATGCAATATTTTTATTGTTTACAATAAACATTAAATACATAGTCAGTAAATTAAAAATTTATCTTTAAATCCATATTAATATTTAAGTTAATATAGATAAATAGAGATAAACATCCATAGATCAACGCAAAATTATATGGTATATGTTATATCGAAGATAAATTTATATTTTTAATAGTTCATTATCATTTACAATTTTTAATTTTACTTGTACTTACCCGAGTGTGAAAAATATGTACAATAATTTTATTTAATAATTTAAAATAATAATACGTCTTTAATTTAATTACGATCGCAGACAGTTTTAAAAAATAGAGCCGCAGCTTTCGTATACATTGGGGCAATATTTTTCGGCTATTAACGCATAAGGTACTTTACTACCAACTCATTCATAGTTTCATTAATATTTTTCGTACTGAAGTAATCTTTCCAATCTTTGTAGAATATAGGATAGAATACAGCAGGCGGAAACACCTTAAAACCCTTACAATGAATCGACGTCATATCTTTTACCTTAAAAGAAAAATACATTTTATAATCAAGTATTAAAAGATAATGTATAAAATGCATAGAGGAATTACGCTGTTCAAAAAGGTCTGCTCGATAAGAGTTCTTATCGATGCAATAACACACTATGAAAAATTAACTCTACGAGTCTTTTAGTATTCCGTTTTTTTTTATTACAATTTTAATTGTATTTGTATAAAAAGTCAGTCATTTCTAAAAAATTTTAATAATGAAAAAAAAATTAATAAAGCTTTATTTGATAATGAAAGAAGTTATTTTTACATATAAGATAAAATTCTAGGTTCAAAGTTTACTATCGTAAAACTGAATACTTTTTACATTTACAAATTTTTAATTTGTACTTTTGATTTTTTATTTTATTTTTATCTTTATATGAATAATGTTTTTTTTTCATTGATAATCAATAAAGAATTAATAAGTTAAAAGAAATTGTATTATAAAACATTTAGTATGCAACATACATGCTGAACTGCACAGAATTTCTGTAATGTTCTTGTGATGACGCCAGGCCCGTTATTTCCCCAAAGATTTCCGCGAAAGTTTTTCATCAAATCTTGAATACAGGCATTCGCTATACTTCGTCCTAATTCTGTTCGACTAAAACCAATTACACCTGCGGCAACGTCTATCCAATCTTCAGCTCCTGCGAAATCTGTTAGATCTTCCAAAGAGCTGTAGATGATGAAATTAATTTATTTTGATTTAAATTATAATATTATACTATAATAAATTTCTTTATCAATTTTGTCTTTTTGTATTTTTCTTTTAAATCAATGAATTGCAATGACAATCTTATATTGAATTTGAAAAATAATTTTAGTTAATATAAATAATTCATTTGAAATTGAAAAAAAATAAGATTAATATTTAATATAAACTCTAAGTTTTAAGGCATTTTTTAGCCGAAGTAATATATATTTCATTTAAAAATATATAGTGAGATTAATTTTAGATGTTACGTTTGCAGACTATTAAAAATATCAATCTAATCTATCCGTTTTAAATGTTCTTTTAAACGTTCTAAATGTTTTAAAACAATGTTTCTTAAATAATTAAGCCAGAGAATTTTTCTTTTTTCCACCTGCCGGCAAGTAATAGTTCATGAATCATAGACACATTTGTGTATCTTTTTCATATTATAAATTATTGTAGAAATTATAGATGATCGATCAGTTGTTAATCTAATCTGAACTACACTCGAATTACAAGTCGGTATTATTGATAAATGTATGTATTATTTATTCACGCATTAGTTCACAACAACCCTACTCATTGTTAATATTAATTATAATTTTAATATAATATTTATTTTTATATAAATCCAACCGTATTTTTGATCATTTTTATTTCTAGTTTTCTGTTAGAAAAATAACATAAATTTTAAAAACTCTTATGCATTATAACTATGTATAAATGTTAAGTGTGACAACATAGGCAGCAGCTGTGAGTAAATTGAAATTTTGTTTCCTTTTTTTTCCCTATTTTAGAGAAAACTTATGCTATAAAAAATGCGAAGTATCGAATTCTCTACTTTTAAGATTATATATTTTTTAACAAAAATTTCATGTCTTCAATCATTATAATATTTTTTACAAAATACAAAAATTTATAACATCAACGATTGTTATAACTTCATTAATATTTCACTTAATATATCTGAAGATTTAATTTTTAAAAATTTGGATGATTGCTTCAAGAAAAAAATTTGATTCACCTGGTAACGACGACATCAAGATCCAAATAAATACCGCTGTATTTCCAGAGTGTAAGGAACCTCATGATGTCGGACATATGACTCCTGGGCCAATTGCTAGTTTCCAAAATATTAATAGCAAACCATTGTTCGATCGGCGTGCCCATGACATATTCGTTTATCTGGACCCGATTGACTCTCACGTTTTCGTATTCAAGTAATTTTTCCAGTATTAAACTCGTGCGATTGGAAGGCGATGAAGGGCTGAGGAACAGCAGGTTCACTAACATGTTTGGATTCATACGAGCAGCTGATTCGACGGCACATGCCTGACGGTAATTGAGTTCTGCATGTCCCAATTCTCCGAAACACGACGTTTCATGGAAAAATATGTTCCTTCCAGCTGCTAATCTTATATTTTCTACAACAAATTCTTCTTTTTAATATTCATTCTATAAATTATTCTAATGATTTCCTTCATGTTGCGTCATTTAATCTTCTATTATTTTTACTTTCAAGTACTACTGTGTAATTTCTTGTAATTTAATTTTAATTTAATTCTAATTACTAATTATATTATTTTCTTTTGTATTTTTATCATCTTAATTATATTTCTCATTGAATCATATTATGAAAATTAAAACAACAACTACAAATGATTAGTTATAAAATACCTTAACTTATTAGATTTTAATTTCATTAACATAAATTTAGATGTAATTATTATTTTTAGTTTATGTATTGATAATTATTTATTGTTATTTTGGATGTGCATATGGTAACTTTTTAACTATATACAACTAGTAAATATTTTAAGTAGTTGTATTAATGTACGAATTTGGGTATGTATAGAAATTATTTATTGCATTTTGCTCTATACATTGAATATATGAAGTGAATACACAAATACTGATAAGAACATTCGCTAGCCTTGTAGCAAGTAAACTTCAATGTACAAATATTTTGTTAAAATTAAAAACCATTATGCACAACAATTATTATAGGATTTTATTAAATCACAAAATATTGAATTATAATTACTTAGTATACACACATTTTACTTATCATATTTGAATTATAAACGTTATAATTTTATGAATTGATTTATATATGTATAAATAAATTTTAAAGCTCACCAAGTTTGCTGTTTATAAATTGCACAAGACACTATGTATTATTCTACAATATTTTTTTCTACGAAAAGTAATTAAAAAAATTTTTAATTATCAAATCATTAATAAATTAGTTTGTCTACATTAAGAAGCTAGCCATGTCCTTAATATATAACTCGATAATATTTGGTGATATTGTGATGTTGTTACTTTTTAAGAATTAAAGTGTTTAACTAATATACCATTCAAAATATTTATGTTATGAATTAAAACTGTATTATAGATTTAATTATATTTAATTATATTTAGCTTGTCCCTTTCAAGATCTTATAAATTTTATTAAAAATATTTTTATAAAAAATACTTGATATTAAAATATACGTGCAGAAAATCGAAAATATTGATCTTTTTCGATGCACGTTTAGTGAAATTAATTGTTGATAACATAATGACGATCTGGAAACTGGATTAAAATTCTGATATAGTGATTTGAGAGTGAAATAAGACGACAGGAAGAAATTTTACGAATATTTGATAATTGAGGGGACATAAAAGATATTTAAAAAATCGAAAGTAGTTTAGATATGATAATATATTGTTCTTCTAAAATCTCATTTATTTAGAATTATTAAGTATAATTAATAACTTCCATATTAATATTTAAAAGTTGTTTTATATATATATGTACTATATTTAAGTAACAAATTTTCAATATTAACTATTTGTTTAACATTATATAATAAAATTAATTTCATTAAATTCTGTGTAGCGGTAAAGTCATGTACATGTTCCGGATAAAAACACAGCCACAAAGACAATTGCATTTTGTCATAAAACAGCTGCGTAATAAACGGAGTTTTCGTACTCGGTAAATTATTCAAGGAGAACCGAGAAGAAAAAGAAGTGATGTATGAGGCAATCACGAGAAACATTATATGCCAAACATTAAGTACGGTAACTTGTAAATATTATAAATATTACTAAAAGTTATATTGCGCCTTATATTAATTTTTGATCTTACATTTGTGTAGCCACAAACTCAATTATATATAAATCAAAATAATTTTTATAATAATTATTAGTAAATAATTAAAAAAAGTATTAGATACTTTTTATACATTAATTAATGTTTTATACGTATTTAAATATATTAATTATTTATAATCCCAAGATTTCATTTCAATCGTTTATGTTATCTGAAAGATGAAAGAGCTATTTAAAATTTCACGGAAGTAGCAATGAAACGAAAATTATGAGTGACATTGAATATATAAATTGTCAAATTGATTGTAATGGAGAGAGCACTCTGTATAATATATTGTATATAATCATCTTGCGTACAATTGGTGAAATGTGTTTCTTTATTCTTTATATTATAAACTTTTTTCTCGTGCAAAGTAATACATTTTTATTAGTTTTATTGATTAGTTATATTATTTATCTCACTGTACAAATTTAGTAAAATTATACTAAAAACGATGAAAATTTATAGCATTAGGCCGAGTGAAAAAAATGCTTTAAAAACAACCTTCTTAGTCATACCTTATTTAAAAATATAATTTATTTCATCAACTCATAATGTAATAAATTATATTGTACGACTAATAATAAACGTAAATTCGTTCATTTTTCAGTTGTATCATAAATCGTGATGCATGACAAATTCATATCATAAACATCTATTCCTTTCTTCTTCTATTTTCCTTCTTTTTAATACAAATGAAAATATATTTTACAATATTTATGTTTAATAAACTTATCATTATATTTTAATATAGTACAAATCATATATACTTTATACTATAATTTTAATAAATAAATAAATGATTCTATTTTCTAGAGTTTACTGAAAGCGTATTATTTAAAAGAAATTTTGCCAACAATTTTTTTCAAGCAAACAGATAAGTTTTAAAATATATTTATAATATAATGATGAAATATTAAAGATAAACTATCATACAACTGAATATAATTATATTCAATTAACTTCAATTATATTTAATTAAAATACAATTGGCAATACAAGCATCTAAAAAAAACCTTATATCATAGAAGCTGCTGATATGAAAAATAAACTATTTTTCACAGTCTATTAATTAACAATATATTAATTGTGTGAAAAAAATTATACTTATATTTAGAATGTTTTATATGTATTCATTGATTTTCTAAATACATATTAAAAGTAAATTTGCATACAATACTTTTCTCTTTTTCTATATTACTTTAAATATGTTTTGTTTTGAACTTAAGTATAAATAAAAGTATAAATTGTAAATGTTGAATACAGTCTAAGAGTTTTAAAAATTAATTTGTCGTTGAATATACACATGTTAGTGTATTAAGTATTATAAAAAATAATTTTAATCATTTTATTAATATTATTTATAATATAATATTATATAGATCCAATTCAAGCTTTATTATTATTCTATATTTTTTCAATATTTCAATATTAATCTTAAAGTGAAATTTGAAAATTTATGAGAGTAATGTAAAATTAATTTAATTTATAAAATGTCCAATAAAGAAGTCCAATAAAGATTGCAAACAGTCTTTTTAATAATATATTCTTTATAATAATGATTAAATTGGATAGCATTCATTGTACATGTTTGTGAAACAAAATCTTTTCAAAACATGTGAAATTATAAGACTTATAATACAAATTTAGCAGTACATCATTGTTCTCGTTATATGTCGGAATTACACATTTGGTGTATATTTTTAAATCGCGATTTAAACGAGAATTTAATCGAGATTTTTAATTAACAATTTAACTTGGATTTATTAATTGAGAATTAACTATCAAGGAATATATTTTCGAATTGACAAATATGTTCAATTAAAGCTTTTTTAGAAAAAAAAATGTTTAGATTAATGGTTGGAAAAAGATTTAATATAATACAATATCTAGATATTGTAATATATTAAATAACAAAGATCAGAATTTTTTTTTATCAAATTAATAAGTTACAGTTTATTTTTCTTAAATACAAATTTTTAAAAGGGAAAAATAATATCACATCATGTAAATGTTTTTAATGTTTAGATTAACTTCTTTACAGGAGTATATACATTTATGTTCTTAATTTAATTTTAAGAGTTATGTTTTGAAAGATGTAATTCGTAGAAATTCAACCGATGAATTGTTTTTAGAAAAATAAATCAATATTCAATAACTTTGACCTAACATAAACATAAATAACGTCACATTCTTTATTTTTATAAATGCAATATTTTTAACAATTGATAATTTTACTACATAATAAAAATGAATATTATGTATATGACAAATATGATATAAATATTAGTACTAAAGGGAAAAGTTGCTTCGTCAATATTATTATGGCATTTATAGTAGAAGTTTTTTTTGTTTTGAGTTTACTTGGAAATTACCTTTATGAATGTCAAATCGTGGAAAACTGTCTTTGGTTGAAAGTTTTTGGTAACAAGATATATCCCTGTGAATAGATTGACTCAGAATTGAAAGCTGGAGACTCCGCATAATCTCGTCGTTGGAGAAAACGAGGAACAAAGAAATTATAATAAAAAAAATAAACACAACGAAACGTTTTTTTATCTTCATAATGTGGTTTTGGTCAGTTGTATAAGAGTCGCGGATGGAGTTGGCAAATGTTGATTAAGAGCGCGTAACGAGGAGGCGATAGTACAAAAATCGCATGGCCATAAAGGAAGAAATTACTAATGATGCAATGTTATTTTATAAAGTTGTGATGATTCCGTGTTATACATCCGTATTGTAATATCAGGAAATCCGAAAACTGGAGACGTTAAAGCACGATACACTTACGACTTTGCCGTGGCCGAAGACAAGAGGAACGTTTGCATCTCGTCCTAACCATTCCGTTTGACTGTCAACAAGAAAGACGCGAGCACAGTATTGTTCTACAATCTGTGTGATAGTCGCAAAGATAATGGCTGACACTTCGTGTTTCCGACTCGTCTTTCACTGTTCGTATAGACGAAGGTGTCAACCAAGCTTCGACGGTCTGTCACCTTACCAAGTAAAAGTAATCGATTCTGTCCTCTCGCGCTAGCTACCGCCAATCCCAACGAATTATACTTCCATTAGCGAACAGCGTGTCGTTCTTTCCTCGAACTTGGTTCCTTGCCAAAGTCGTTCGTCACCGCGGACACCTGCTCCTGGCCATCGCACCCGTCCGCGGATCCTGGGCTCAAAGGCCATTCTCTAGATACAGAATCGGATCCTCGTCGCCTCCTCGAACTTCTGGCTCGAATCTGCCGACTGGACAAGTCCATTGCATCATGCGAATAATCTTTTCGCGAAATTAACTGAACTCGCTAAAAGTGCCTAGTCGCTGTCCCGATCTCTGCTGAATCATCTAAAAGTCCCTCGCGCTCTCGTGTGTATTTCTTGCTTTTGTAAAGCAGACTGCTTCTACTGCTGTTATCGACAAAGTCTGAGCTCCTGCCGAATTATACCGCGCACGGTTACGAGTACAACTGTCGGAGCAAGCGTGAAGGAGACAGAGGCAGCGACACCCTTTGTACTACGTTCCCGGAAGGTCTACATACGCAGACGTCAGCTGGATCAATATCCACGAGTCGGGGGAGCTAGCTATGCGACGCGCTCAGCTGACAAAATTTTATCACGCACGTACTTCGTTTCTTTGATTGCATAGGAGGGTGAAACTCGCTTTTTTCAATTCAAAGTCTTGCTGTTAACTTAATGACGTTATTTAATTATCATTACTATTTTTCTCAACTTTATCATCGTTTTATCTACTTAATCTAAGGATAATAAATTGATTAGCACTTAATTAACGTTAATAAATAACTCGGCTTTAGCATTCTACATGTATGATATGCCAATAACAGCATCGAGTTTCCTTATTTATGGGCCTAACCACTTTTATGGAGAATAAATTTGTAGGCTATTTTTCAATGAGAGTTGTCAAAGTAACTTCACAATTCTTTTACGTCATCATACTTCAATAGAATCAATAAATTATTTAATATTTACCTAATAGATCAAATTTTGTAAAAGTAAAGTATCGCTGTACACAATAACATATTAAAAATTTCAATTTCTTAATTTTTATATTAAATAATATAATAAATATATGAATATATTCAATTACTTAATAAGAATGGGATTTGTGATTCATAAAAGAATCTTACAATTTAAAAATTATTAGTTAGTCATCAGTATGTTTTATTTCGTCTATGGAAATACAATTGTCAGAATTAAGGTACTAGCGAGTATTTAAATTGTCGTTAAATGCTCAAATTTTTATTACTAATTAAGTCATTTAATTGATGTTCAATTTTATAGTTTATAAAAGATATCTTATAATTTAGCACTTATATGAGTTTCTTGTTCATAATGTATGTAGTTAAAAGGTTATACTGCGAGAGTTCATTATGCTATTAGTAATGTTACTGTAATTATAAATTTATTTAAATATATGCTATTAAAATATTTGAATATCATCCGAGTAGTTAAATTATTACACATTTTTTATTATTATTAACTATTATATGAACTTTTTATTACAATTATTTATGCTATTAAATTATTATTCTTATCAAAATAATTAGGAAATTATAAATAATTTATTCTGAGTATTTTTTCAAATAATTTCTATATTTATTTAATACTGAAGTATTTATTTTTGATTTTACCAAAATTCGAAAATAAATGTTGGAGCATGATTGTATTATATAAATACTGTCACTACCTAGTTTAAATACTACTTAAACATTCTAATGATACGATATTGAAATTCAATTCTTAATAAAATGCATAAATACATACATAATTTATTAATTTAACATCGCAATAGTTATTAATAATGTAGTTTTACACAAGTTATAGTTTGTAAATCATAATAAAATAAACATATAATTAAATATAAAATCCAACTCAGTATTGATAATTATTTATATAATTTTATTACAGTATATAAAGAACTAATATAGTATTTAAAGAACATTAAATTATCTTAACTTTTAATTTTTTTATAAGAATTTTTTCTTATAAATTGTTCAGATACGTGTATATTTTAAATTTTAATTTAAAATTCAAGGAAAGAGAGAGATGGGAATAGAAAGGGAGATTCAAAGAGCCTAATGTATAAAAAAAATTTGTCAATCTTAAATTTACCATATATATATATATATATATATATATATATATATATAAGCCTTTAAGCATAAGAATGTCGCTTGTATATAATATATGCAAGTATTTATATTATTAAACATTTATGAAAACTGATTATTATTCAGTTTATTAAAAATTTATTATATGCTTAAAATATAATTAAAATAAATATATCAATAGGAAATTATGTCATATTTTTAATCACATATATAGCAATGACAATCGAGCTATATAAATGTTAATAATATGAATTTCACCCAGAAATAAAATACTCTAAATTTTGTTTATATCTATATGAAATAAAAAACTATAGATAATAAATTATATCAAAATTGTTTACATTAATTTTTTTCGTCTTAATTTTTATTTCGTCAAAACATTAAACAGCAAATTGGTTGATTGATGCGAATTAAGAGTTTCAAACAGCTTTTAAATGAATTTTTACAATTTATAATGTCCGTAGAAATGCTTATAAATTTTATAGACTTTACAAAACTGTAGATTGGTCCTCAAGGAAAGACTATTTTTAATTGAAGTTATTTGATTATGGTATAATATTTTATATACTTTTTCTTTTTTATATTAATTATGATAGCGATTTTAATGTATTTTCTACATACGCAAAAAATTTTTCTATGCATTTGTGAAAACGCTATCGCTATGCATAAAGCATTATTAATTAATTAATAAAATTTAGTATTTATAATATTCAATAAATTACATTTCTACAACTGGATAGAGAGACAGAGAGAGAGAGAGAGAGAGAGAGAGAGAGAGAAAGACAGACAGGCAGACAAACAGACAGACAGACAGAGAGAGGGAGAGAGAAAGAGACATAATGTCGAGGTATTATGGAAGGAAGCGTATATGACTGGAGTGATCTTCCAAAGAATAAAAATTTTGTGAAAGCGCTGGATGTAAGTAAGATAAAAGAAAGAGATGTAAAAAATGTTAAAGAGACAATGATATAAAATATTAGTAAATTTAATTAATTGATGAAATAAAAATTATATTAATTGTAAAATAAATTAAGAAATTCACAAAAAACAATAATAATATATAAATACGTAAATTTATTTACACCAGCGACTGAATAAATTATTTGAGATCGCATGCTTATAACATAATTAATCATTTTTTCATTAATTTTTATTAAATTAATGATTATCGATTCTGCATAGTTTTAGATTCTCTATTTTAATTTCGTTACTCATTTCTTTTAAAGCAGTTTAAATAGACTATGAAATAAACTGCAGTTCGATCTTGAGTGTGCGGAATCAATAATGGGAATTTGTGAAAATGCGTAAGGGAAGTGAAACAGGGGTACAAGTTATTATATGGATTTGTATAGGTTAATTTTCTAAACTGCTATAAGTTGTAATCTATAATTCAAAATTTTATGAAGCATTTTTCAAATTAACTAATTTTTTTATAAAGTATGTTATGTGTTATTAAATTAGAGATATTGATAAATTGACAAATATTTACTTTATTACAAACTAAAAATAGCATTAAAAATTAAATTTATGAATTTATGAAAATCTGATGTAAATCAAATGAACTTACTGTAAAGAATCGTTCTACATTCATTTTCGTTGTACATATATTTAAAACTAGCGATTCTATAAATGAATCAAATTAAAATTACGATCAAACATTTTAAGGATAAGGATTATTTATCAATTCATAACGAATATCGGTTTGAATTACTGTAGCTTCAAACATTCGTATAACTTTTATTTATTTCTGCTTTCCAATTGAAAAAAAGACTAATGACGAATACTAACAGTTTCTTTCACTCACTTTTCAAAATTTTAATCCTAGTAAATTCATTAGAAAAGTTGTAGAAAATTTGTCATTTCTTATCTCCGGCACTTTTCATTATTTGCTAATAATGTATTAATTGAATTGATGAATTTTTAAATATATATTTATATTGTCATGCATTCATATATTTATCTGTTATATGTCTATTTTGCAAAAACATGTATAATATAATACAGTGTATTCTATAATAAATTTAATATAAGTAAATAATTAATATTAGTGACTAATTAAAAAGTCATTATCCAATTTTTTCTTCTCTATATAGTAAAACTATATTATATAGTGTATATTGTATTATTATAAAAATATATATATAAATAAATATAAATTAAATTTTTTTATCAGTACGTGTGAAATTGATTTGTAAATGGGTATAGAGTGTCATTTAAATTAACATAAATTTTTGTATATAAATTTTTTGTTTTACTAAATATATTGATTTAAATGTTGAATTTTTTAACAAAAATGGCTTCGATTTTTCAATTTTTTATTAAAAATATTAGATCAATTCTTCAGTTTTATAAATTTACTGTCATGTAAATACCTATGTTTAGACTCCCTGTATACGTATATTACTGAAACGTATTCTACTGCAAAGACTTTCCCATATCAAAATATTATTCTACATCTATACGTTGCATTCTAAAGAGATTATTTATTAAATTTAGCTCATCATTTAAATGCAATTATTCGTACAGATATAAATTAATTAATGTCATTTAACAAAGTATGTGTTTCACAGTTAAGCAATGTATTATTAAATTAATACAATTAACCAAAATTATAAACAAAGAAAAAAAAAATTTAGAACAATATACTTTATTTATAAAATTATAAATTTTTCTTAAGTAAGTATTA